GAAAAATTAAAAAGAAAAATTAAAAAGAAAAATTAAAAAGAAAAATTAAAAAGAAAAATTAAAAAGAAAAATTAAAAAGAAAAATTAAAAAGAAACAAACACACACGCACACACGAAAATTAGCTTCACAGTAAAAGTCTCTAACCATCCTAAGCTGGGTTAGTTAGATGAAGGAGGGAGTTGAGGACGCCAAAACGCTCAACTTCTCAGCTTAAAATAAAACTTAAAAACAAAAAATAAAATTAAAAAAAAAAAAGGCTTTTTAAGGTGGTTTCCAGGCCAAGCTGCTCTTGGGGGTGGGAGAGGCAGCACAGGAGGAAGGCAGGGGCTGCAGCGAGGGAGGCTGAGGGCTCGGAGCAGGGAGCATCCGATGGGAACACAGTCCAAAGCCCCAGGAAACCCGCAAAAACAGTCAAACTTGAGCCAGAAAAAAAACGGTCAAATTCAGCAAAACGGGGCCCAAGCAGCGCCCAGAAGAGCTGCCACTGCAGTGTGGGTGCCTCGGCCCTCGCAGAGGTTCCCCTGCCATCCCCTTCCCACCTTGGGCTTGTTATTTCAAGCAAAAAACAGAAGGAAACCAAGGGCTGCGGGTGCAGCGGCATCAACAGCTTCCACGCCAGCTGAGGGCATCGCGCGCGGCGCATCCTTCAAGTATTTCTTAATATAAGACAACCAGGAATCACCTCCGACTGATAAAACCAAAGGAGCTACGTCAAAGTGACGGCGCCCGGGGAGACGGGCGCCTTCCCCCTCCTCTGCCTCTAGAGGGGCCTCTGGGGGGGCTCGCCCCGCGCTGCACCCACAGAACTCGGGGGGACCACGAGTGCAAGGAGGGGAAGGGCTGGGGGTGCCACCCCGGCTGACATCTCCCTGAAACGAAAAGAGGGGGGAAAAGAGGAAAAAAAAATAGGGAAAAAAAAAGCCCCCACAACATCTATTGCATAGTATTGCTGTCAGCAGTCTTCGAATAAAATGGAGAACTTTATTGGGGCTGGGGAAGCTGCCCAGCCATGACCCCCGAGGGCCGAGGAGTGGGAAGGGGGCGGCTGCGCTCGCCCGTGGGGCGGAAAGGGGCTGCGGGAGGGACGGGGGGCTCCACTCCGTGGCTGCGGCTGGCACATGCCTGGAACATACGTGTACAAGCGTGTGCTGGGGGCCAGCCCAGAGCCACAAGCAGGCTCAAAATCCTCCCCAAAACAGTGTCCAGGCTCAAAATCCTCGCCCTGCCCGGCCTCCTCTCCCGCCAGCCCTGCAAAGCGGCCCTGCGAGCAGGTTAAAAATCAAGAATAATCAATAAAAAGGAGGCTGGGGTGGGTGGGAATAGCTTATTTTGAAGCAAGCGACGAGGCCGGGGGCTTCCCCTGCGTCTGCGGGCGCCTCCCCGGGGGGATCAACTCCCCAGAAAACCCAAGGGCGAAACCCGTCGGGGCAGCCGCACGGGAGGCGCCCGGGGTTCACAGTACGAGCGGAGCCGGAGAAGGTGCCGAGGGAAGGCCAAGAGCGGAGAAACTGGAGCCCGCGCGGCCACCCCGGACGCGCCCTGGGGAGGGTGCAGCAGCCTCGCGCTTCACTTAACACCTTAGAAAAAAATAATATATAGACAGGTCTTAAACAAACCCGCCCACCCCCAGACTTACAAGATCAGCAAAACCTTGGAAACCAGCCAACAGGGAAGAGTCCTGATCTTGTCCCTAGCTAGAAACAGGGTCTGTTGTTGTCTTTTTTCCTTAAAAAATGGCCAAGGAGAGGTGGGGAGGGGAGGGAACGGGGACAGCCCGCGGCACCGCGGCGCTCAGGCCTGGTCGGCCACCAGCACCAGCGGTGGCGCCACCAGGCACTGGCCGGCGGCCACCGCCTTGGCCAGGCTGCTCTTCTGGCGCCGCTTGGCCAGCTTGGACTCGGAGGGCGGCGAGAGCTGCATGGCCCGTGAGGTAGCTCTGACGACGATGGGGGCGGCTGCCTCGGCCGCCTCCTCCTCCTCGGCGTCCTCGTCGCGCCGCGTCAGCTGCCGGTTGACGGCCATGGCCTCGGCAGCGAAGGTGGTGAGCTCTTTGGCACTGCTGTTCCTGCCGGGGGACGCCGGGCACGGGTTGGGGACGTCCCAAAGCCAGTGCCGGCCTCTGAGCAGCAGTTTTGGGCGGCGGGGAGGGATCACACTCACCTCTGCAGGATGCTGGGAGTGGGCAGGGTGTTATCCGGGGCGCACTGCAATGAGAGGGCTTGTTAGGATTGGGGGCCTGCCCCCCCCCCCCGGAGCTTCTCTGGCCACGGCGTGCCCGGCACTCACCCCCTGCACCCAGGGGTGCTCCAGGACCTGGGCTGCGCTGAGACGCTGCTTGGCGTCCCTCACCAGCAGCTTGGAGATGAGGTCTTTGGCGGCGAGGGAAATGTGCGCCCAGTCCTTGTCGGGGAACTCGTACTTCCCTTCCTGGATGCTCTCGAAGAGCATGTTCTGCAAGGGGGGACGGGAGGCATCAGGGGCTCCAGGCCACCTCCACCTGAGGCCAGGGCACCCCCCTACTGCCCACCCCATATCCTGGGGAGGGGGCCACCCTGCTGCCACTCCTAACAGCACCCCCTGCTCTGGGGACCAGGCGACCTCCATCCTGATAGGGCCAGCCCCTTATCAAGCACCGTCACCTGGGGGTTGGGGCACCCTGCAGCACCCCGTCTTGGGGACGAGGCCGCCTCCACACTCACCTGGCAGGTGGGACAGGCCTCGCCGCGGTCCCAGCCGCAGTCGGAGCCGCAGCGGCCCACGAAGGGCGGGTAGCCGCTCAGCATGATGTAGAGGATGACGCCCAGGCTCCAGAGGTCGCAGCGCTTGTCGTAGATGGAGGCCTCCTCGTTGAAGGCCTCCACCACCTCCGGGGCCATGTACTCGGCGGAGCCGCACTGCGGGGGCCACCGCCTCAGTCCCTGCTCCCAGGCCAACCTGCCTTCCTCCCGGGAACAGGGTCACCCCAACTGCCGCGTGCATCCCAGAAGCCAAAGGCTGAGGGATGAGGAGCGGGGAGGGATGTCCCCAGCGACAGGAGAGCAGCCAGGAGGAGCCGCAGCCGCGCAGGGAAATCAATCAATCAGAGAGGTGCCCGGGCCGGAGGGGTTAAGCGCCGCGGCAGCGGCACAGATGGCCCCGTGTCCCTTCCCCCTGCCACCGCCGCGGGGACCGTCTGGGGCTTTCCAGCTCACGTGGCCCATCAGGCCACACGGGCCCGGTGACGAGGGACGGCAAAGGGGGGGCGGGTGAAGAGAGAGAGAGAGGGAGGGGAAAAAAAAAAAAAAAAAAAAGCGCTGCGGCAAACAGATAACGAGCAGGCAGGGAGAGGCCTCGGGAACAGCTGATGCCGCGGGAATTAAAATAAATAAATAAAGCAGGAAGCCTCTGAGCCGCAAAGCTTTAACCCTGCGGGCCCCGGGAACGGGGAACTCGGTGAAACGCAGAGCTGGGAGCGGGGCAGATGGGGGCGCGGGGGCCCTTGGCGCCGCCACCCCCCAGCTGCACCGGGGCAGCCCCCCGGTTTGTGGGCAGGGTGGCCTGTGCGGGGCCGATAAGGAGCCTTCCTAGGCCGTAACATGCCTGCACTTGGAAGCGCTTTACATAAGAGCCCCCCGCCCTGCATCCCACTGGGCTGGCCCCTTCCCGCTGTGCCGGCCATCCATGTGGGATGAAGGGCCTGTCCAGCCCGCGCGAGCGGCAAGGGGCCGGCGCGGGGCCCCGGCGGCACCCACCGGTGTGAGCAGCTCCGGTGTGGAGATGGGCGAGCAGTCGCTGTTGAGCTTGATGCCACTGCCCAGGTCAAAGTCGCAGATTTTCACCGGGGACACCTGGGGCGGGCGTGGGGCAGCTGCTGGTTACTGCCCCTGCGGGCTCCCCCAGGGCGCCCGGCCCCGTTCCCGCTCACCTGGTCGGGGCTCTCGCACAGGATGTTCTCCGGTTTTAAATCCCTGTGCGCTATTCCTGGGGAAGAAAGTCCTTTTTAAAAAAAGTTCAATTCTTGAGATTTTTAATTCAAAGAAACCCAAAACTCCCTCCCTCCTCAGCAGAACGGGCTCCGGCGTCACCTTTGTTGTGCAAGAAGTTGAGGGCGCTGGCGATATCCCGCACCACGACGCTGGCCTCGAGCTCGTTGAAGTGGCGGCGCCGGTGGATGTGCGTCAGGATGGAGCCTGGGGGCGCAGAGCGCAGCCGTGGGCACGGGGCTCCGGCCGCGGGACGGTGCTCGGGGCATTCGGGGACGTTTCTGCCGTCCCTACAAATGGGTCCCCGCTCACCTCCGCGCATCTTCTCGAAGACCAGGTAGAAGCGCTCCTCCTCCTCGAAGAACTCGATCAGCTCCAGGATGTTCCTGGGAGGGCACTCGGCATCAGCCGGCACCTCCACGTGCCACAGCGGTGACGCTGGCGACACAGGAAGGGGCACCCCAAAGCACGGCGCCTTGGAGCCCACCCGCACCCCAGGCCTCTGCGCGCCCCGCCAGCCCCTGTACCTGTGTCCTTGGCACTGATAGAGCATCTCCACCTCGCGGAAGACCCGGCTGCGGATGTGTCCCAGGCGCTTCTCGATGATCTGCAACACAGGAGGAGGCTGAGAAGGGGGCCGGAAGGCAGGGGCCGGACCCGGCGGACGCCAAGCTGGGCCCGAAGGGGTTACGGCATCGGAATGGGCCGTTCCCGCCAGTGCCGGTGCCAAGGGGCCCCCCGCGGCCCCGGAGAGGCTCCTGCGGCACAGGAGGCCCCTCGGCCCCGCGCACGAGCCCCGCCAGCCTTGGTCACCCCCAATAACACCCCTCAAATGCCAGCGGGGTGACGCGGCAGGCGGATTTGAGGCTCTTACTGGCTCGCTGCAGCAGCCAGCCCCTTTTTCCTGGCTCCGTGCCCCACCATCCCGTGGGATTCTGCCTGCGAGCCTAGCCACAGGGGGGGGAAAGGGGTGCTCAAGGGCTACGTTGTCCCCGCTGGGCTCGAGGCCGCTGGCCAAGGCCAGCGCGGCCCCCAGGGAGCTGCGGGTGGGCAGAGGCCCCCCAAAGGACACATGGCAGGGGACCCCCCGCACCTCGGCACAGGGACACTCACGTGGGGACATCTCCCCATGCTCCCTTGTGTCCCCATATGGGGACCCCCCCCACACACACTCCTCCGACTGCGCCCAAGCCCATGGTCACCACCCTGTGCACCCCTACGGGAACCCAACGCTCCCGAACACGGTCACCCTGGGCGCCCTGCCCGGGACGGGGACGCCCTCCCCCGCGAGCGCCCCGTGCCCGCGGCGCCGGCCGCACCTTCACCGCGTACTCCTTGTTGGTGATGAGGCTGACGCAGGCCTGGACGCGGGCGTGCGCGCCCTCCCCCAGCACCTCCTCCTGCAGCTGGTAAACGTCTGCGGGGGCAGCGGCGCGTCGGGCCCCGGCGGCAACGGGGGGTGCCCCCCGCGGCCGCCCCCCCGCTCACCTTCGAAGCGGCCCGAGAAGCTGTCGGTCGCCCGGCAGCGCTTCTTCTTCTTGGGGCGCTTCTTGGCGTCGGGGATGTCGATGGGGCGGCTCGAGGGCACGTCTGGGGCGGCGGCGTGAGGCGCCCGCGCTGCCCCCCAACATGCCCTCCATGCTGCCCCCCCACAGCC